ACGATTACTCGACCACATTTCTCAGAACACGACCTTACGCAAATACTGAAAGCTCATCTAAACCCATCCGTAATCAACGGAATAATAACCTCAGAAGAAATAATGAACCAAATTCAGCAGATATATCCCCAACATTTTAGTAACTTCAAGATTAGATTCACACAGTCTCAAGTAAAAGATTTAACAAATGAAACCGAACAAGATGAGAAGATATTGGTTACACACAACAGAGCCCACCGCAACGCACTAGAAAACAAAATGCAATTGTCCGAAAGATTCTATTTCCCAAAAATGAAGCAACGAATAACAGAATTAGTTAAACAGTGTCAGGTTTGTAAAGAAGAAAAATACGATAGGCATCCCACTAACCCAAAACTCAAAGAAACACCAATCCCCGAATACCCAGGACATACAATCCACATCGACATATACACGACAGAAAAAAACTTAGTACTAACGGCAGTAGACAAATTTTCGAAATTAGCTCAGGGACGAATAATCAAATCTAGGGCAATAGAAGACATTAAAAACCCACTTCATGAAATCCTTTTTTATTTTGGTGTACCTAAAGCCGTTGTAATAGATAACGAAAAATCCCTTAATTCAGCCTCAATCACTTTTATGATGCAGGACCAATTAAATATAGAAGTTTATAAAACACCACCCTACAAAAGCGCAGTAAACGGTCAGGTAGAGAGATTTCATTCAACACTATCAGATATTATGAGATGCAACAAAAGAAAACAGGAACACAGAACATTCGAAGAATTACTTAACAAATCAATATACGACTACAACTACACCATACACTCGACAACTAACAAGAGACCATTAGACATATTCTTCGGCAGAAACGTGACTACAGACCCAGACCAATACGAAAAAGCTAGGCAGGAGAACATTGACAGACTCAAACAGAAACAATCGACCGACATGCAGAATCATAACAAAAAACGTAACGACATACGAACTTATATACCAGGTCAAGAAATATTCGTCAAAGTCAATACCAGATTAGGTACCAAACTGTCACCCAGATACAAAAAGGAAATAGTTAAAGAAAATAGAAACACAACCGTACTAACAACAACTGACAAAATAATACATAAAAGCAACATAAAAAATACATAAAAATTACAGATTCCTATTAGTGATGACAATAAAGGCAACAGAAGGACACTTGGATATCTTGAACTACACAGACGCACAAACAATTACAATTCTAAAAGGAATAGGGAAACTACAGACATCGACAACACGAATCGTACAAGTCATAGAGCTAGAACAGATCAAAAACGCATTAGATAATCTCCTTTTTTACATCGAAAAAGACTTAAGAACCAATACTTTATACCACACTTTACGGCACGAAATAACGCAAGCTATTGTCACTTTCAACACAATATCACTTTTTCATAAACGTAAGACTAGAGCGATCAACATTATAGGCACAGCTTGGAAGTTTGTAGCCGGCAGCCCGGACAATGACGACTTAGTAATGCTTACCGACAACATAAACAAACTTATAGAAAACGACAATAAACAGCTTATCATAAACAGGCAATTAGAAGAGCGAATTAATAAACTCACGAAAATCTCAAATGATTTAACCAATAGCATAAGAAAGGAATCTCTCATAAGTGATGAGATAGCTATTAGCCTACAAAATCAAATTAGGCTCATAAAAGAAGAAATAATTAATATTAAGTACGCCATACAATGGGCGAAATTGAATTTAATAAACACATTCCTACTTGGCGAAAAAGAAATAGAGATAGTAAATGATAATTTTAAAAAAAAGTAACATGCCACCTTTAAATATTGAAGAAATGCTAGAATTCGCAGATGTATCCATTTTGCATAATGGAACCACTCTGTTTTATGTTGTAAAAATTCCAAATTTAGAAGAAATAGAATGCAAAAATACTTTAATAAAGCCAGTAGTGAAAAACAACAATATAATAAATTTAGAATTTAACGAACTGTTTCATTGTAATAAAACAATCTATGGCATAAACAACAATTGTAAAAGATACAATAATATTAAAATTTGTAACAAATCAAAAATTGTAAACTTGAATACTAATAATTGTATACCTAAGCTAGTTAGTGGAGAGCAAGCGCTCTGTGGCTTTAGCAATGCAGATCATATCCCGGAGATCGAGGAAATCGACGATGGACTTATACTAGTGAACGACTTCAACGGCACTATTAGATGGCAAGAAGAGAAGAAACGTGTGAGGGGCACCTACATGATTAACTTCTGGAACGAAACCTTATTCATCAACAACCAAGAGTTCAGCAACCTAGAGGTCACCTTTATGACCCCAGGAAATCCCACAATACAAATAACCCCAATAGAAAACGAAAGAATTAAGATTCTTTCTCTGGAAGCACTTGAAGAATTGCACATCAATAACATAAAAAACATGCAAAAACTTCAGACGCACTCTATAGCAAATAGAGTCGCTTTCATAACTCTGTTCACAGTTGCCATCCTTCTTACCTGTGTATTACACGTAATGAAGAAAAATAAGAAAAATATAATACTGCAACTGAACAAAGAACAAGAGAGACCCAGAAAAGAACCAGCACATATCCAAATACAAAATACAGATGCCAATAACCTCAGGTTCAACAACATACCTTTCTTCTGATGATCGCTTGAGGACAAGCTTAAATTAAAGGGGGAAGAGTTAACAACAAATAAATTCACACAGTCCCAATAAGAAGCATTGCAACACCTCATAAGAAGTGCAGCAAAATGCTGACTTGGTGTCTGTGCCATTTCCTCCACGCGCCGACTGGCAACCGCCGAAAATTCCAAGAAGAATTGCCCAACGGGCCAACAACATCAGCAGCGACGCCGCTGCCAACGCCGCTGCCGCTAAGCCACAGGTTACTAGGGCTAGAATTGATTTAAGTTTATTTAGTTGCAAATTACCATCAAATAAAGGAAGTCTTGCTTCCCTAAAAATAATAATTTTTTTCATCGTTTAATAAACTTTGGAATTAACTCGCATACTCATTGAAACGCATACGCATAACTATGTGTACGTATAGCTACAAATACTCACATATATGCATACTCATATATACCAAAGATACGTATAGTCATAGATTTCTACACAGAAATACTCATACTCATAGAAAAGCACAATACTCACCCATATGCATACTATTAGATACGAATACTCATATGTACTCATACGCACAGTTTGGTATACTCATAGATACGTACATTGTTATTTACACACACTCGTAAATATGCATCTCACAGGTACTCCTACTCATAAATACGCTTTCTTCTAAGTTTATATGCTGTATTCTCTGGAATAAACTTCAAATAAATGCTATATCTAAAGTACAGGCATTAGAAAAATATATAAAAATAAAGACTATGCACAGTCATAGACACTATTATATTTTTTGACTACAATTATAAAATGTACTTGAGTCCATTGTATACCTCAGAAATTTAACTTTGGACCTTACCTATATTCTATTGTCTTCTATTTGATAACATATTCTAAATATAATAAAAAAAATTTGAGCTACCATTTATTAACATATGTATATATTAAAAACAACATTTATTTATGATTATATTTTTTTTATTTATATGATAATAATTTCATATAATATAATATAAAATCAGTTGAATATAATAGTAATTCAATTAGTTCTGATTGAAGAACATTTTGACGACTTCATTATATTGAATATTCGTCTTTAATCTTGGTCCGACCAAATTTCAGTTACAGTTCCAAATGCAATCTTCATAATTTGCATTGATTTCAAATTGTAAAATCAATCTCGAAATGGAGCACATATGAGCACATAAGTGTTGCAGCTGCTTGAAATTACACTACTTATGTAAATGTGTGTATGAAATCCTTGAGAGGCTCATTTTCAATTTACGCAAAGACAAATCAAATTAGCCGAGGGAAAACGGAAAATGAGTTCAGTTCGCATGTGTGAGGAGCCTGCGAGCAGCCCCAGGTGCTTAAATTGCCACGGGTACAAGCTATGCGAGCCGAAATTCAACTGCAACAGCAAAAGGAACCACAAGCGCAGGTTAACCGAGCAAAGTTCATGAACGTGCTGCATGTGTGTGCGTGTATGTATGTGTGTGTGTGAGTTGCAACTGCATCTCAATTTCAACTGCAGCTGTGCAGTAGCCCCAACGCTGGCCACTGTTTGGTTGGGGTTTCGGTCGCGGTCGAGGTTTCTATGCGGCTGCCGCTTCCAGTCTCAATTTCCCGTCATGTCTTTTGGCCACATTCACTGCGTCTGGAAAACTTTTGACCTTCTCACGCGTCACTTGAAATTTTCGTAATTGTAAGCGCCATTTCATTTTTTTTCGGCAAAAAGAAAAGTTCATTACGAAATATGATTAGGCGCAACGGAACCTGATAGATAATTAAAGATATACGTTTAGAAAGTTGATCGATGGCTACAGATATGTCGGTAGTTCTTGAACATGGGCTCGCTACTCTTATATATCTTTCCATATATAATTAATTCCACTATATAATTATTATGATATTTTAATTTCGAATTCAAAAGGCATTTACTGCCATCTATTTTCACAGGGGCTTGATTCCTTAACTCCGTGAGGACGCTCAGCAATATATGAAAGTTGGACTTTGTTTTTATAAAAAATATGAGCTATCGATTTCTTATTTAAATCTGAGGAACTAATTCTGATTACAGCAAATATAAAAATATCTTTAGCCTAGAACTCGTGTAAATAAACTTGACTTTTATATGATTACCTTAGGTGAGAATTTCTTAACCATGCCCCTATTCATAATCATCGATATATATGCATATGAAAATATATTGTGTGAGGATAAATATTATTTTTATGCAACAAAAAATTGCAAGCATTTGTTTGTTCTTAATTCAGGCATATTTATCAAGCCCCAATTGAAGATGCCGTATAAAAGATACAGCTCTACAGATACGCACACATTCGTAAAGTGTAAACTGACAAAATGATCCCAAAATATCAACTGCTCTTCAGGATTATCCTCTGTCTGATTCTAGCAGGCGCAGTTGCAGGCAATATTCCCGAGTCTGTAAAGGGTCTGACTGGAGAGCTGGGTGCAGCCCGCATCAATGGTGGCCAATTGATGAACGAATCGGTGCCGTTTCAGGTCTCCATGCAGATGCTGCGCCGTGGACGCTGGCGGCACTTCTGCAGCGGCTCCATCGTCAGCGAGCAGCATGTCCTGACGGCGGCGCATTGCGTGGACAAGCTGCAGGTGGGCAACTCGAGCGTGCTGGGCGGCACAGTCAACTGGCAGCTGGATGGACGCCATCGGCACAGAATTGTGGCCAAGCACGTGGATCCGCAGTATACTATGAGTCCGCGCATCAACAATGACATTGCTGGGGCTCCATAACACCCACCAACTATCAGACCATCTCGAATGAGGAATGCGTCCGTTGGCTTTCGCGTCACACCCAACGAGATTTGAGCACTCTCAGCGCCCGGCTAGGGCGCCTGCGCGTTAGACTGAAGATTTGCTCTGCTTAATTCGACTACTGGCATTTCCGACCAATAGGGTGACTCGGGTGGTCCACTGATCTTGACGGCCAGCGGCCGTCCACGGCAGCTGGTGGGCATTGTGTCCTATGGCAGCGTCACCTGCACACAGGGCAAGCCCGATGTCTATACGTGTGTCTCCAGCTTTTTGCCCTACATCAACAAGATCCTTAGCCAGGATCTGGCCCAGGCTACGAATAAGCGATAAATTCTTTTGTGGTTCACATTTTATTTGCCTTCATTTCTACTGTTCATTATTTCGTTTCCTTTCATACCCTAAAGTCATTGAATGTGATGAAAAGGGGTATAATGTTTTTGTGCACACGTGCATATGTAACAGGCATAAGAAAGCAGCTCCGACTGTAAAAAGTATATGTATATGTACGTTCTTGATGAAAACAACGAACTGGGTTAATCTACGTGATCTCGGATTTTGCAAAATATAAATATAATATAATATATATTCTATATATAATATATATTCTTCTATACAAAACGCAGAGGAATCTTATCTTCTTTATCGATATCTCATAGCAATCATATACTAAATGGTAATATTTAACTTTTTGGATACATCCAAACATTTTTCTATAAGCTGGAGAAATGTCATTATTTAAGGATTGTGTCGGCAGTTTGGCGCTGGGTCTAGGGCATCTCCTAGCCGGGCTCCCGCGACTGGAGCATATTTGCTTGTTTTCATTTTTTTTTTTTTGCGGCTAATTAAAAATCTTGTTCAATATTCGCCACAGCCGTTGGCAGCCTGGCCTGGCAGCGTCTTCAACCCGGCACTGGGCCTAGGCCTAGGTCTGGCCTGTAGCCTGGGTCGGGGCTGGTCTGGCCTGGTCTGGCTCGACTCCAGCTTTTGGCCCGCTCTGCGCGCACCATGATAAATGCAAAAAGCAATTTATCGCACATTTAACTCAATTCAGTTTCTTTATGGGCAGCCACAGACGGGGCAGCGGGACCTTGGGCAGCAGCTTTTGTAGCTTGGGGCACGCCTGCCAGCCAGTCGGCCAGACAAAGTTTCGCTGACACGCACGCTGCATGGACCTGCTGCATGCCAAATGCCGCATGCGGCCTGCTGCCCCATGAAACTCGTTGTCCGAACCGTGGCGACTAGGTCTCCGCTCAAGCTCTTGTAATTCGATATTAGATTTTATGTGCGACAAATACGAAGTGCAAACATTTTTATGTTCCCTCAATTTCTATGCTGCATTCGTATTTGTAGTAGAACCAACTCGCGCAAGAGATGCCAAAGATGCGCACCTAGAGCTCTTCTTTTCTTTTACATAATTAAGTTCAAATAATGTGGAGCTCACGCTTTTCGATTTGTGCATGCCAAATACCTAAAACCTATCCGGAGATCAAGTGGAAAAACAAACTAAATGATCTGCAATACTGCAACAAGTTGTATATATTTTTTTAATTATTTAAAATTATTTTGTCTATTTTTGATTGTTTTAATAAAGAAGACTTAACGGAAGAAATGGCATAATCAAAATTTTTGAATTGGGGTTAACAATTATTTTATCTTGAATAACTATTTGAATTATGTTTTTCAAATTTATAATATAAATATAAAGTTGAATCATCCATTTAATTTTCCATATTTTTAACTGTTGTTTAACCTATAGGAATCTCGTATCATACTCTTATTTTTTTAGTCTTTTCGATCACTGGCCAGACCATATTAAATCAATATGGTCACACTGTTTAATAAGTTGTCTGAGAAATCTAACCGTTGTTGACGCATGTTGTTTCGGCAGTTAAAGTTAATATCCAGAAGCAACATTGACTCAAAAATTTTTCAGTGTTGACTTATAAGAATATGAATATGAATATAAGCTATTGTGAGTGTGGAACTTGTGCATGGCATAGGGGTAAAGGTGGGGGTAAAAAGAGCAAGAAAGAGTGAGAGAAAGAGCGGGATCGTGCATTTGTTAGACGTTCGTCGCTGACCGCATAAATTCATTTAGATCAATCAATTCAATTTGTTTGTCAATAAAACCTAAATGAGTATTTCATTTAAACAAATTAAAATTCGACCCATTTGAATGTCGCGCAACAGAAATTCCAACTGAACCCGAACAACAATTAAAATCGACGTTGAAATAAGTCTGGGATTGGCTCTGAACAGACTGCAGACCGAAGACAAAAGACTGAGACATACTTATTACCCTGCAGCCAGCTAACTCTGAGATATATTTATATATATATATATATATATATATATATATATATATAGCTATATGCATATATATGTAGATACATCCAGCAGAGGAGCTGTCTTGCAGCCTTTGTTGACTTTTCATTGTCAATTAAAATCAAATAAATTTATTTGCTGCTTGACATTCGCGTTTATTTCGCTTACTCTCTGAATTGTGATTGCGATTTCGATTCTGATTCGGATTCAGATACAGATTCAGCTATAGATTGGGGCAGGCAAGTGCATTGGGTAAGAATTATTATTTTGACCTTTTTCTTGTATTTATCGCAATTTTTTTTGGCTGCTGTGCGTAACCTTTGATTGTCCCCATACTACTTTGCCTTGCCCTGCATGGCCACAGATTCCATGGCCTTCTTGACGGTTTCGGGATCGCCCAGGAATTTCATGGGCGCCAGCGGCAGCATGCACTTGTCCAGCTCGTAGACAAAGGGTATGCCCGTGGGCAGATTGAGCTCCATAATGGCCTCATTGGAAATCTGATCCAGATGCTTCACTATGCCCCTCAGGCTGTTCCCGTGTGCGGCGATGATCAGCTTTCTGCCCTGCCTTATCTGCGGCACAATTACATCGTTCCAGTAGGGCAAAGTGCGCTCGATGGTCAGCTTGAGGGATTCGGACTTGGGAAACTCGTCCGGTTTGGGTCCATCACAATATCTGGGATCCTTGACTATGCACTCGTAGTACTTGTGATCCTGCTCCATTGGGGGCGGCGGCGTATCGAAGCTGCGTCGCCAGATCTTAACCTTCTCCTCGCCATACTTCTTGGCCGTCTCCGACTTGTTCAGTCCCGTCAGCCCGCCATAGTGGCGTTCATTGAGACGCCACGTCTTCTGTATGCATATATCCTTTTGTCCCGTCACCTCCAGTATGGACTGCAATGTGTCCTGGGCTCGTGTCAGTAGCGATGTGTGCGCCACGTCGAACTTCAGCTTGGCATCCTTGATGGCGTTGCCCGCAGCACTCGCCTCCTTGCGCCCCTTCTCCGACAGCTGGGCATCGTACCAGCCGCAGAAGAGATTTTGCTGGTTCCACTCGGACTCCCCATGCCGCACCATAACTACTGTGAATTTCTCACAATTATGAGAGTATTTTCGCTGCAGCTCCCGAGATATCCATATGGGTGGCTCCAAAAAGGCGCCCCTGTTCTGTCTGCTGCCAAAGCAGAGGTTCAGCAGGTGACCACCGTAGCCGAGTCTTAAAAGCCCAGACATTGCCTACAATTTAAAATTTTTAGAGTCTGAGAAAATAAAAGTCTGACAAACGGTTGAATGTATTCTTGCCTACTGTACCGCCTATAATTAATACAGACTTTTTTAATCTGACTGGACGCAACTATAATTAATACAGACTTTTTTAATCTGACTGGACTCAACTAACTCAGGAACTACAGGATCTGAAGATGGTAAATTGAGTATATGACTTCTTCAGTACAAAATTATAACAAATTTAGCAGGTTTCTAATAAGTCTATCGAAGTAAGTCTGTCGAACCCTAGCAAATCAAATGTATGTTCCAAGAATAAGAAGTGTTAGCAGATTTTTAAAGCTATTCTTATTCTTTTAAGAATAGTATTTATCTTTCTTCCGAGTCACCTTGAATTATGGTATTCTGAGTCCGGCTGAAACCTGCTAACTTAGGAACTACGCATGCTACAGGTGGGCAATTTAGTATTTGGTAATGAATTATTGTTCCTAATACACACTTTGCAAGGATACCAACCCAAAGAAAATGAGATTTAAATATTAATAAAGAACAATTTCTGCTGGCTCTTAAGTCTGGCTGCACCTAATTCAACTCTGGGACAGGACATGTTAGAGTTATCAAACATGGTATGTGAGCTCCCCTAAACAATATAGAGCTCTGACGATCATTTTTCCTCCGCTGGAACACGTGAAGTGTATCAAGCCCAAGAGGGGGGACCATACGTTCTCTGAAATAGCCTCAGCTACTGTTGCATAATGCCTTCACCCCTAATCATTTCAAGCATAAAACGAGCGACAGCTCAATGCAAACTGTCAAACTGAAGCGTGGACACCGAAAGCAAACGAAAAAAACCAATTGCCTAAGAGACATTTGAAAAAGTATATGGAGCTAGGTGGATAGGATACGGCTGGAGCGATCCACAGCAGAAGTAGAAGCAGAAGCAGCCATAAAGAGCTTTTACGACCGCCACTAGGCGGCAGCTCGAATGATAAATTGTCTACTGTGGCCAGTTCTGGTCTGGTGGTGCCTGCTGGTCGACAAGTTTTCACTACCAGAGATCGATGCACCACCATCACCAGACTGACCAGGCCCGACTGGAGTCGGAGGCGCGCAGAGATTAGACAATTTGTAGGAAAGCTGCGGAGCCGTTTCAGGCTTTGCCTGGAAGCGCCACTCTGGTGGTGGCAGAGTCAAGGCACGGGCTATCGGTCCATGCGGAATGCCATGTGGCATACCTGGGCCGAGAGCTCTTTACAGTTGCCTCGTGTTAATTGAAAATTGTACGGTAATGTTGCTTATCGCTTGGCTATCAGACGATGTCGTCGTCGTTCCAAGTATGGGGTCTGTCTCTGCTCTATGGGTTGGGGTCTGGGTCTTGCGTGTAGCATGGATCCGTGCGGCATGCTTGGTGCCACACCTCGAGGCCTCACGCATTGGCAGAGGTGTTTGATAAACATCCCAAGCCATGTCTTAGGATTTTTTTAGGTTTATTTTTTATGTGGCGTTCGCGGTGAAAATTTCTCAAACGCTTTTTGACAACTTTCATGTGAACGCACTTAACAAAATTTATCGCCTCGCGCATTATTTGTGGCTTTAATTGCTTAAAGACGTTAGGAAGCTGTACTCAAGCTTCTTGACATGCTTCTTTCGGGCCAGACGCGGGCACTGACACCTGCGGCCCAGCTGGGGCTTAGCCTTTTAAGCAGGGCTTTAAACGCGTTGCCAGTTGACACGATTCGCGGATTAATTGCTTTTACAAAATGATTGATCACATTCAGTTATATTGACTATAATTATGTCTCTTATTGGAACAAGTTCTTTAGGTTTTCGAGTTTATCGGGTTATTCCCAGAAAGACGCATAAACATATTTTCGAAATTCTTACTTCAATTTCAGTTCCAACATAGTTCTTCATTCATTTCAGTCAATTCAGTTGCATATTCCCAACAAATAACCCGAATAAAATGCTTGTTTTAAAAAAAAAAGAAATATAATTGAAAGACTAACAGGCCGGTGATTAAATACCCTTGAAGAACAGTAAAGCTCGTAATTGCTAAGCTTTCCATGCAAAATCTGAATTTTTGTGTAATTCTTTCTATGAAACTATAAGTTAAAGTAGTTCGATATTGATATGACAAGCTAATAAATACCTAGTTTGAGAAATATATCTTGATAAATAAAACTGATCTTCATATTGGAACTTAATTTTCAATCGTCGGCTATGTAATATGTTGGATCAGACGGAAAATGCAAGAAAATTACGAAACCCAACTAGTTAGTTGGCAAAAAAGCAAATGAGCTATATAGGCTCGGGATTTTTATACGGAATCTGTAATGTATGTATATTTCATTACAGAGTTATAATACCCTCCAGAAGCGTATAAAAACTGCATTTCATAAGCATTTCTGCAGATCCGTTGTCAGTTTGTTACCCGATTTTAGGTTTGTGTTGGACCAGTCGGGTTGCGGGCACGGTGTTAACAAGATAAGCATCCTGTGGTCGTCGCCGTGGCGGCAGAACCGCCGGAACGCCATCAGTATTATGACATTTTGGTTGATTGCCCGCCTCATTGTCGGCCTTGTTCGATGGCCAAGTTCTAGGGAATTGTGCGTGTGGCCGGCCAGCCACCAGAAGAGGGCCTCACAAAATATTCAGACTGCAACTTTTATTGCCTGTTTCTGTTTCTTCAATCTGATTTATATGCCCGGTTCTCAAAAGCAAAGCCGCTCATTTTATGACCCGACTTGGCGGCCGTCAAGCTGGACCCTCGAAAAACAGTAGCCAGCCTGGAGCTGGGAATTTCATTGCGGCCTGCACGTGTGCTCTGCTCTGAATTGGTATTTCCCTTTGAGGATTCAAGATAATATTTTAAAGCGAAAATTTTATAACTACTTAATGTCTTATTTGTTGACAATATTTAAATGATTTCAACTGATTGACAAACGTAGCTGAATGATGAGAGCATTTTTTAGATCGAAGCTGCTTCTCTCCTTCATCGCCGTTTCGGTCACAGGGGCCCCCTGCCCCTCTTTCGTCGGGACATCCCTCTATACTATTAAAACACAAACTCAATTAGAGTAAAATTAATTTCGATTTCTAATACAATTAGTTAACCTAATATGCAAATTAGTCAAGCTAAAGTTATGGATAATAAATAAGACCTGGCATTTTCTACATGCCTGTTAGTCAGCGCATTTTCAAATTTTCCACTTGTTGTTGTGGCAATTAATTTTCGCACTCGTTACGACAATTTCGCGGGACAACAACAACAACAACAAAACAACAACAAGTTTTAGTTAATACCGAGCATGGAAGATTTGGAATAAATGTTGGCAGAGTGGAAAAAAATTAATTGCATGTTTTGCATAATCAGTAAATTGGTCGTTTATTTTAGTACTTAATTTGCTAGCAGCACGAGGTGCGCCAACCCAGGCAGCCCCCGTCCAAGGAGCCTGCCATATGCACACACTATAAATTATGACTGCAGTCGAGTGCTCAACCCCCCCCCCCCCCCCCCCCCCCCACCCCTCCCCTCTGCAACAGATCCCTCAGCCTCTTACTCTAAGAGCCCCTTCGATGGGTCCAAATAAAAAACATTTTTATTTACAAATCAGATAAGAGATCTGAGATCACAGCAAGCAGCTTGAACCATTTGTAGATATGCAGCCAGGAGACTCCGCCGGGTTACTGGATACCCTGGATACTCTCGCTCCTCGTAATATTTATCGGTCGCGTGTGCTTGTTACCTAATTGATGACAACAGGTAGGCGCTTCTGTCAACCCGGTGAGAGAATATGATTGCAGCGAGCTCATCTGCAAGATATCTCTTATGATTGTCAGGCACGCACAGCCAAACAGCGGGCGGCAGCAGTTGTCCCACTGCGACCAAGTCAGGAACTTCAGATTGAAGTGAAATGTGAGAATTCAATATTTGTGAAATATATATTCCTGGAGCCTTTTACTTGTGTGCCCTGGTCCAAAGCATAGACATGATATACATATTTTTAAAGTAAATATAAAATATATTTGTCTGTCTTTTCTCATTATCATATAGCTTTTAAAGGAATAATATTTTACAGCTTGACATTTTATATGCCAAACATATTTTTCCAAGATATCTCAAGCACATTTTAAAATTACGGTTTATACATCTTTTAATATCATATCATATCGATAATATCATATGATTTCCAATAGAACAATTGGTAGTACATGATTATTTGTAGTAAATATATACATATTTTAAATACTTGAAAATTTCGAGCAATATGTGAATCTTTCAGTAGCATCATATCACATCATATTATCTCCAATCTCCCATAACTCCTAGGGAACACTCGATCGCAACAGTTTTGCATATGAAAATCTTTTGTTTTTCCAGCATCTCAAGCATAGTTGGATAATACGAGCTATATGTTACCATTCTCCTTTTAATCTCATATCATACTTTATTTTATTATATCAAATTCTATCATATCAAATAATTAAATCCTAAAAGCTTCAGTCTAATATATTTCATAATTGCCATAGAGTTATGGGAATTCTGAAAACTCAGCTTTCATGTTACTTTCAAAATATTTGTGGGTATTTGTTTGTATTCTTATTTTTTAAAGATCAGGACCTAGAGCCGACCAAAACCCAATACATTGCATGCAATCAAATTGAAATATAGAACACTTGAAGTTTCCAGGCTTAACAAATCCTTTTTAGCCCTGGGCCGTGGCCTAGCATGAATCTTAAATATGCTTTGTTCTTTAACAATTGTTGAACAATTGCATTTGCTTTGTAACGGCTGCTTAGAAAATTCAATTGCAGCACTGATTGCATACCCTTTCAGTGAGTTGCTTGGCAAATGCATTAATCATGACAAGGAATTGAATTCGCTTTCGCTTTGTTGTGGGCAGCTTCTTGTGTGTTTCATTTTGGGTGGCATTTCGCGCGCAGACAGACAGCCAGCGCTTAGCAGAGCTGGTCTTTGGGGGAGGTGGAGACGGTTTCTTCAATTCCTGGGAATGGCACCTACAGACTGGCTGCAGCAACACCTACAACCAAATTGAAACGACAAGACACAGACACAAGTGGCACAAGCAGCACAGAGGAACATACAGCGCGGATGGTAGAGTGGAGGGGGTGTCAGTCGGAGGCAGGTTGAGTGGCTGCAGCTTGATCTGGTTGCAGTTTTAATCAATGAATAATTTAAATATTCTGATTAAACAAGCTGCTGCTGCTGCTGGCTGCGAACATTTCTTTTAATTCATTGTAGACAGCGGAGCATGGGTGGCGCTCTGTGGGGATTGAGGGTAGGGCGGGTGCTCGGCACAGGCAATTGGAGCACCGCAGCCAGTTGAGCAATCAACACCTTTCCGGCTGCATTTCAGACTGTATCTGTTGCTGGGGCGCACATGTTCGATGCAAATCAACTTGCGAACCTGGGCGGGCCCACAGACCTGGGCTATCTCCGAAACCCTGCCATGTGTCAGTTCCGGCCTGATTGGAGGCCGGCTAATGAATCATTTTGCTGTGCCTCGCCAGAGTGTGTGGCAGCGACGAAAATTAATTATGCACACCTCCACGTTTTCTGGCTGGTCTTAGCTTCTCCTGGAATCGCATGTTGAGGTCTTGATCTTTGGACTACTGTGTTAATTGTTGGCTCTGTTTTTTTTTTTTGGCGCTGACTACCTGAACCGATTTGATCCTCAAATGGCTTTATTATTATTATTTTTTTTTTGGCCAGGATGTGCCGTTGGCGCCATACTTCAGTTGCGTCCGCCTTTGGTATTTGTTAATTGGACCACCCACAACACACAACCGCACAACGTGACAGGATTTGAATCTTGGTGAATTTTATATTAAGCTGCCGGTTTTAATTTGCATGTGAGCTCACCGACTCGCCCTGACAGGTTAATCCGCATGTTAACTCATTAGGCTTTGTTCTCGCCCTGGCACAAAATTCTGATTAAATGCGGTAGTCAATTCCATTGAACTGGCTGGGAAAACTGTTTAGGTTTGAAAACGGTTTATTCCAAAGTTTTTATTTTGAATCAAACGAAATTCTGGATTGCAACCGAAGCCGTCATCGCAGCTGGTTTTAACAAGAACAAACAAACTATGTCACATTTTATGAGCTGCCAGTTATCAGACCCTAAGCTTGGCTAGCTTCACAAGCTTATCTTGCTTTATGGAACGACCTTGTTAACTATTCTATGCGGTCAGACCGCCCACAGCTATCGCCCCGATAAAATTCTAATGAGCCCAAATACAATGTATAAAAAACCCCAATGCTTAGTCGAAGCCAAACAGTAGAGGGTTCTAATCCCAAAGCACAAGAACAACATGGAAGCTCGATGGAATTTGGTCTTGCTACTGCTCGGTCTGCTGCAGCTCGCAGCTGGCAACCCCGCGGGCAACGTAATAGATTGTAAGTGCAAGAAATATAATAACAAATGAGCAGCCTTACCTAGTCAATACACACAGTGGATGCCTATTTTGAGATGGCGGACAGCAGCTCGCAGGAGCGAGTGGTGGGCGGCTACGATGTGCCCGACGATGAGTATGTGCCCTACCAGGTGTCCATGCAGTTTCTAACGCGCAGCGGCAAAATGCGGCACTTTTGCGGTGGCTCCTTAATAGCGCCCAACCGGGTGCTCACCGCGGCGCACTGCGTCAATGGGCAGAATGCGAGCCGGATCAGCGTGGTTGCGGGCATACGTGATCTTAATGACAACACCGGCTTTCGCGCCCTGGTGCAGTCGTACGAGATGAATGAGCACTACGAAGAGCTGGTGACCAGCGATATAGCCATACTGAAGATTGATCCACCCTTTGAGTTGGATGGCAAGCGCGTGGGCACCATCGATGTAAGCAGCAATGAGCTGGTTGGAGCTGATCAGGAAGTGCTGCTTACCGGTTGGGGCTCTGTGTTTCACTTTGGCACCGGACCCTTTGCCAAATACCCGACCATACTCCAGAAACTCTCCTACAAGACGCTCGACAATGCTAAGTGTAAGCAGACGATGACTCAGCTGACGGATACGGAGATTTGTGCGCTGGAACGTTTTGGCAAGGGTGCATGCAATGTGAGTAGCCAAGGGCTGGACAATTTTAAATCTGACTGAATCACTCCTCGACTTATTCTTCCTGTGCAGGGCGATTCGGGCGGTCCTTTGGTTATGGCCAACGGCGAGTCGCTGAAGCAGGTGGGCGTCGTCTCATATGGCACTGCCTTCTGCGCCTCAAACAGTCCCGATGTGTACACTCGCGTCTCCATGTTTGATGCTTGGATTAAAGAGCGCATGGCCTAGGCGGGTGCATGCCCATACCATACATGACACATACCCTTACTACTAAAAGAAAGCTAACAAAATAAATTCTAATTCATTAAATTAAGACAGTTGCTCAATTCAAGCAGTATAAAAAGAACGCAAGCAGTGCACAATATAGTGCGATTTTTGCTGCATACTTTTAAGCTGACGCAAAATTGCCGGTAAGCAGTGCGGATTATGCTTAAATATTGGCAGAAGAAAATTATTTAAGATACAAATTCACATTTATTTCGTTTTTGTTTAAATATCTACGAAATCTCTATATATATGAAATGGATCGCGACGTTTGCTTATTGATAATATCAAAGGTCTATTTCCACTTCTTTCCTGAACTAAATAGCCTTCAATGGCGGGATCAGAGTTCTCTATGTCGCTGTTTTCTTCGCTATTCGTTTCATACTCGTCTTCTTGATCTTCAAACTTTTCATCGCTCTCTTTAGCCTGTTCGGCTGCATCTGATTTTATTTCTGCGGAGTCGTGCCTCAGAGAATCTTTCATTTGCGCCGCATCCTCTTCAGGCGCCTCCACAGCATTATCTTCGACTTCTTCGCTATTTATATTCTCCTCTTCATTTCGCTGCAAATTTTCCGATTCAGTTTTAGAAGAATCTGTTGAAATTTCTTGCGGCGCAGGCTGAGCAGATTCCAGGGTATGGAATTTCCTTACTTCGTGATCAGTTGTCATAGGTTTCCTTGTGGGCTTGTGAAGCCTATGGGGATCATGCGGATCATGAGAATCATGCGAGTCATGCGGATCATGTGGGTGATGCTCTCCTTTATGATTGTGATCGTGCGGCTCATGCTCATGTGAGTGATGCTCTCCTTTATGATGATGATCATGCGGCTTATGGTCGTGGTGATGATGATGATGATGGTCTCCCTTATGAGATTGATGTCCGTTGTATGGCGGTAAAGGGTAAGGGTAAATGATTGGCGGCGGTTGGTGATGATGTGGAGGTGGTGGTATGGGCCATGTGGGCGATGGTGGTCCTGGAGGTCCTGGCGGTCCCGCTGGTCCTTGTGAGCCTGGCGCTCCCGGTGATCCCGGAGATCCCGAAGAGCCTGGTAGTCCCGGAGGTCCCTGAGAGCCTGGCGAACCTGGAGATCCTGGTGAGCCTGGTGTTCCCTGGGATCCTTGGGAGCCTGGCGGTCCCTGAGAACCTTGTGGACCTGGAGCTCCAGGAAGGCCTTGAGGTCCTTGCGTACCTTGTGGTCCCTGAGCTCCTTGCGCACCGGTGTGGCCCTTGTCGCCCTTCTCTCCTTTGTCGCCCCTTTCACCCTTCTCGCCCTCATCACCCTTGTCACCTTTCGACCCTGGATATCCTGGTTTTCCTGGATCGCCTATACAATTGCATTGCAAGATTAGAGGCTTAAGATTGTCATTGTCAGGAATACATACCTGAGTGTCCTGGAGGACCTGGTGGTCCAGGTGGCCCGGGCGGACAATTACACTTTGTCGAGGGATGAGGATGATGCGGTGGCGGTGGCGGGTAGAAGTGTGGCAGTGGCAGCGGTGGTGGTGGTGGGGGGTGATAGTGAACGGGCCGTTTGATAATCACATTCGGCGGAGATGGCGCAGGAGCGGGTGTAGGTACCGGCAACTGAACTGAAAGATGTCTGCCAGCATTTTTGTTGTTCTGATTTCTGGTGGACAAGCTGATGCCGCCAGAGATGGCCAGTGCTGTGAAATGGTTGAGATTGCAGGATGGAAATATTATATCAAAGATAAAGGCCACTTACTTAGGCAGAAAAGCGTAGCGATCTGTGCCATGGCTAAAACTTATTTGCTGGGATCGACAAGTAATTGCTTTCTTTTATAGCAAAGAAATGGATCGGTTGTAGATATGCATAACATATACACACAAATGAGATCACTTTCTGAAATCCAGATTTGAAGGAACCGTTAAGCATAATATACGTCAAGATATCTTATTTTAATCGTCATCTTTTACTATCTTACTGTTCTTTTAATAGCAACCTCCACATATGGTCGCCTCATCGTCCCACAATTAATATGTATAAATATGCTCTGGGCTCAACTCGATTGGAATCTAAACCAAATGTTTTGATAATAACATGGGGATTTTTGGCATTAGTTCATCAAAATAATATTTATGTAATTATATATTTTCTTATGATGTTAAGCCCACACCTCTTGAACGTCATTAGTTTGCCAAAGAATGAGAATGTGTAGTAACTTTTGCTGATTTGAATATATATATTTATGAACTTTGCATAATAAGTTACACGAGCTTTTAGTTCTTTGTTATCTATTTTGTTAACTTCACAAACTGATCATAAAGATTGAATTTAATGAACTGAAGATTCGTCCAACAACAATGCAAAGTCGCGTGCCTAATAACCTAGATAAAGGTCAGATCTCAATGAAAACAGAGAATGGGCTAGCTTTTAAAAGCCTCAATGAAATTATAATTTTAAAATGAGTAATTCTAACAAATATGAATATAAATTATGTATAAAATTAGTCATTATCAATGAATCTCTAGTAAATAATAGATGACTTATGTTTGTTTACTTGTCGTATATTAAGTAATGATGCAAGCTTTTCCCATACGATTCTTAGTTATACAAATCTTAAGAGAGTTAACTAGTCTGTGTTTAGTATATATTGCCTTTTCAACGGCTCCCAAATAATTATAATAACCATAACAAGAGAAGTGTTCGGATGGTAGTCGGGAATTCTAAAGGGAATCCCATGGGGAATTCTATCGGAAAATGCAACAGTTATTCAAAAGTTTTTATATTCTGTGTTATTTAAAAACGTACATACTAAATACTGCCGTTTCTAGCTGTTATAATCCCCGAGATGTGTTCAAAAAATCGAGTCTGGAAATCGATACTGATCGATTTCGTGAATGAGCTTTGGGTAAATTGAATTAAACTTGAGTTAGACGCTTAAAAAATTGAGAACCTCGAAATCTTAAGTTTTTTAGTGCTAACAGTGCCTGATATCGATTCGTTGAAGGTCGATCAGGAATTAATACTTTATAGGGTCGGAACTTCTTCCTTCTGTTTCGAGTATACATAGATTATATATATTATATAGAGTAATAATAAAATAATATAAGCAACAATATAAGCAAATAAAATCGAACAAATTATTCTTAGCAGGTTTCAAGTTAATTTTGTTTATTTTAGTCAAGCAGTGCAAAAATTCTAACAGAAAGCAGTTAAAAATTTGTATCCTGCATATCAGAGAGCTCTGCAGGCTAATCTTATCGTATCTTTTTTATCATCCAATGATGCGTGCTTGGATTCTTTTCCAATTCGTATGCCTTTTACAATAGAGTAATTGTTTTCGTCCTCAAGCGAATCGAAGCCCTCGTCTAGGGACAGAGTCACCAAGCGCGCATCTCCATTCAGGCGAAGTAAACTTATGCCTGGTGGACCCGTGGGTCCTGGTGGGCCTATATCGCCTGTATCTCCCTTGTCTCCCTTTTCGCCAGGCTCGCCTGGGGTACCGGCATCACCCTTGGGTCCAACTGGACCAGGACTGCCGGGAGTGCCCGGATTTCCGGGTCTGCCCGGTCTACCTGGACGACTGGGCGGCCCTGGTGGACCCGGCGGGCAATTACAATCAATTCCAGGTGGGGGATAGAGATAAACCGGCGGAATGTATTTTGGTTCTCCTTTGTAGCTTCCACTCGATGAGCTCTGATCCGGCACATGAATAGCAATTGTTCTGCCGGCCGCCTCTTGGTAAGTGTCGGCAGAACTGATGCCGCCCAAGTGGACCAGACCTAGGAGGAGGAATTTGTATTATTCAAAAGTGTTTATTTGAGCATTCTTACCTAGGCAAAAAAGCGTTATGCACAGTTTCATGTCTAAATCGCAAATGCTATGACTATCAATTAACTGATTCCTTTTATACGAAACATCTCCATTTTCAAACCCAACAAAATTTATTTATGCTTATTTTTATTGCGAAATTTCAATCTCAAATCTTTCGAACTGAATGCTGGCGAGATTCCCAGTTTCATGAAACCGTTAAAAGCTTACAGTTGTTTCTATTCCCTAGTATTTATTTTTCTATTCCCTTGTGAAGAGTATGATACATTGGGCAAGCTATTTGTGTAGAAGGCTGGAAGGAGATATATATGCATCAAGTATAAATAAACTCTTGATCAGATCAGATCAAATAAAGGATGAAGCAGTCGAAGGATAAGTTATTTTTATAATGTGACAAAATATTGTTTGTTTTTAAAATATCTTTACGAAACTCATCCACATGTCTGCAAAGTCGTAAGCCAATATTTCCAAAAGGGTATTTAATCTTCCACATAGCAAAGATAATATTTACTTCTCGTTATACTATGCTTTAAAATGTTAAGACGCATATGTGCATATATTAGCACATAATTGAATTCCCGAACAGCATGACGCAATCCGTGGAGTACAATACACTCGAAAATAGAGTAAAATAAATTATATAATATAATAAAATTAAAATCTATTTGTTCCTGATTGGCAAAAATAATACTGTCCCGAAATATGTTAAAATACCCCAGTTGCAGACCAAAGATATAATCAGTGTCAAGGAATTGTGGCCAACTTGAATGGCATCTTATTACTTATGCATAATGTCGCTTATGAGCTGGGATGGGTTAGACTCTTTAGTTATTCTCTAAATTCGCGAGCTGATTTTGTGAGCCGCAGACTGATATAGTGACAACTCAGTTTTATAGACCAGCATTCGGGAGCCAAGTTGAGAACTGGCCTACTTATGCTATCGAATGCTAATGCGAGAAGCATAAAAAGATATCTAAAATCCAAAGACAATGTGAGACGTATTAGGTCAAAATTAATGGAAAGATAATATAAAACTATTTCGAGAATTTATTGCTCTGCTTGACTAAACTGAGAGAAAGAGTAGAATGTTAGAATATACGAAAATCAAGTTATGAACAAAACAATACTATATAGAAGAGAAGCGCACAAAATTATAGGAAATATTGACACAGGTTCCAACCAAAATCTCTGTTTATAAAAGTAAAAAGACTGTTTTAAGTGAACCAAACCAACGGCAATATTTATCTGGTATGCAGCTCTGTGAAGAAATGTAAAATGTTGACAACGAACTCTGAAAAGTACGAGAGGAAACTTAAGACGAGAACTGCTCATTGAGCCATTAGATCTTGGAGTCTTGCCAATTAATTATTTGCCCCCTCTGACAATTCCTCATGCAATTCGCCTTAGCTAGCCCACAGACAGCTGTGAAAATTTGTTTTCTGGGTTAGGGTGACGTTTGAAGCATATGCCAATTACCGCCATGAAAGCTCGTTAAATTTTTAATTTCAAGATCAAAATAAATGGCATAACCGCTGCGTTATCTATGCAAATGCAACCCAATGGAGGTGGGTTTCAATCCTATAAATAGCCTGCCGTATAGACCGTAACTTCAGCAGAAACCAGACCAAGCATGTCTATAGTCGAACTAGTTTTGATGACAGCTCTGATGCTAGGTGGCGCCACGGCGCGTTCCAATTGTAAGTTGAGGTTATGAAAAATGGACGAAACAATTCAATACTTTACAACACTTGCCAGCAGCACGCCGGACCATCGGCTTTACGCCCACACGAGTCGTGGGCGGCTCGGATGTGCCGCATGGCGACTACGTGCCCTACCAGGTCTCGCTACAGTACAGAGTTCGCGACGGACATGTGCACTTCTGTGGCGGCTCGATTATAGCCCCGAACCGCATACTTACGGCCGCCCACTGTTGCAAGGGACTGAATGCGATGCGCATGTCCGTTGTTGCCGGCATACGCAATCTGGACGATCGAGGCGGATCACGCTCTCGTGTGCTCTCCTATGACATACATCCCGACTACAGGGAGCTAGTGACCAGCGACATTGCAGTGCTCAGCATTGAACCTCCTTTAGTCTATAACAATGTCAGCGTGGCGGCCATTGAGTTTGCCTCGAAAGAGTTTGTGGGCGGCGGCGAGCCAGTTACCCTGACAGGTTGGGGCTTGCGTTTGCCGGTCGCCTTTCCATTCCTAGAGAGCGTCAACTATCCAAATACGCTGCAGCGCATGAGCTACAGTACGCTTACGAATCAAGAGTGTCGAGATATGGGCATGGCAGATGTTTCAGACACCGAGATTTGTGCCAGAGGAGTCTTCAGGGGCGCCTGTTCGGTAAGCAACTGCAGGAAAGGGGTTTAAAGGTATATTAAGATGAAAGTCCCACACACAGGGTGACTCCGGTGGTCCACTGGTCCGCAACGATAACGGCTTAAAGCAGGTTGGAGTGGTGTCCTATGGATTGGTCGTGTGCGGACTCTTCATATCGCCCGATGTCTACACAAGAGTATCCACCTTCAGCAACTGGCTTCAGGATCGCATAAAGTAGACCAGGCCACGTCCAATCTGTTTTTGAAATTTCTTAATTATTTAATTAAATGTGGATAACAATTTTAATAAACAATTATATAATTGAAAATTTTTGATGAATTTGAACCAGCGACCTCTCGCTTTTTGGTCCGACGCTTTTTCATAGAAATTTTGACAGCCAGTTATTCCGACTTATAGGTTGTTGTTTCAGACCCAAATGGAAGATTCTGTAAAAATTTTTTAAATAAGAATAAACTTTAACTGCAACCTTCTCATTTAATCGTTCTGGCTGTTCCGACGGCTATCCTCAAGACATTTTAAATATATACAATTACACGTTGAACTAATTTACAAGCTAAAGATCACAAAACCCCAAAGGCCAAGGGAATCAGAAAGAATCATGCGGTTAAAAAAAGGAAACATTAAAAAAAAAAAAAAATACTATTCAGCTCCTTCGTCGGCTGGTGGTACTTCCTCTGCAGCTGGTTCTACAGCTGGTGCTGGTGGTGGCGCCTCTTCATCTGGCGGTGGTGCGGCGGTTTCCTCAGCTGGTGGTGCTGCCTCAGCTGCAGCTGGTTCCGCTGCAGGTTCTTCGGCCCTGGGCACTTCCGGTTCCGGTTCAGGTTCAGGTTCTAGGGCAGCTGGGGCAGCGGGCACTTCCTCGGCAGCAGGTGCAGGTGGAGCCTCTTCAGCGGGAGCTTCCTCTGCAGCGGGCTTCAATTTAGCTTCGGAGGGAGCTGCTGTAGGAGCTGCTGTAGGAGCTGCCGTAGGAGCAGCTGTGCCAGCGGCTGTGCCAGCAGCTGTGCCAGCGGCTGTGCCAGCGGCTGTGCCAGCGGCTGTGCCAGCGGCTGTGCCAGCGGCTGTGCCAGCGGCAGTGGCGGGAGCTGTCTCAGCAGCTGTGGCTTCTGTAGCAATCGGTGAGCCTTCACCCTTGGAGTGAGGAGTTTCGCTTTCATGACAAGGATCCTCGATCTAATAGGATAGCTTGGAGGTCAAAAACAGGACAAAGTATGGCATCTACAAGACTTACCGGCTTTATGGCCTGGCGCTGTAGGGCAAAGTCGAAGGTATTAGCTGATATCCATTAAAATTAAAAATTAAAGCGACAACCCACCGATAGAACCCAACGGAAGAAGCGCTGCAAAGTGCGTGCAGCTTTGTCCATGCGCATGTACTCATCGTCATCCTTCTCGTCGAGCATGCAGGTGCACACACAGACATGTTGCGCCATCATGCGACGCACCAGATACCCGCGGAAGGCGGCCTGTATGGTGATGGCAGCCTGGCTGCGCATCAGCTCCTCAATGCGTTTTAGCTCGCGATCGCGGAAGTATTGATAGAGTATCTCGGTGCCCTGGGAGTCCTTGCCCGCGGCCATGTACGCATCCACGAATCGCTTGTAGGCGCTCTCAATGGCTGGTCGTGAGGCGTCCAGCTCTTGCTCGGAGAAATGGCATTTTCTGATCAGCTCCTCGAGCATATCAATGTCGGCAAATTTAATCGTCTCCTTGCCGCGACGCATCTCACAGCGACGCTTCTCCAGGAAATTGCGGAAACAATCCTCCATCACCTGGGCCATCTCATCCGATTTCTCCTTGGACAAATCGCACACACACAAATCGGATATAATGCTGTCCACCTGGCGCAGAGCGCGATCCAATATGCTTTTAGCCACTGCGAAAAATGTTTGTCAAAAAATATATATATATATTCAAGTCCGTTCGTTCTGATTAACTGTCGGTGATCAACAGCCCAAACCGGAATACTGTTGAACCCTTTTTGTCTACCATCTCATTCCTTATAAATATTCATTTGAGAGCTATTTCACAGTATTCCCCTAATCCACCTGTTTTTTTTAGTGGAAAGTAAAGTTACTGGTTCGAACTCATTTCCAATGACCTTTAGGTTTTGTCCGAGCGTGTGCGTTAGCGATTTTGGGAATTCCGCCCGGAACTTTGGCGCCTTTTTTAAACTCAAATTGAAATTATATCTAACATATATATATAACTAAGACGCGCGAGTTCAAGGTAGTGAGTAGATCTAAATTTTCAACGATCGAAAAATGAGGGCAGGATCGGGAAATACGAGGTAGTCTGCCATATATACATCATTTATGTAGGATATAGCTCACCCAGGGCCTTTTCGCGCGTGACAATCACCGAGTGCAAATAGTCTATGATGAACTGGCAGAGACACTCCTTGGTCGGCTGGCAGCGCAGAACCTCGCGTGTTATGTCGGAGAGCAGCTCCGGCAGACCCTCGGGCACGTTGATGGCCTGCTGGCGTATCTTGCCGCGCTGTATGAGATAATTCATGTTGGTATTTTTGTAAAGTTTTGCTTTGGAAACGTTTTAAAAGAAACCAGTCAAAATAATTTTGAACCTATTTGTTGCCGCAGTTGTGTTCAAATCTATAGATTGCCTTTAAATTAAATATATATACACATTTACGAGCTATTGAGTTGGAATGGAAGTCCTACTGGGATAATTCCTATTTATACTTAACACGACTACTTTGGTTGGCCGTGCTCGACAATGAGATACTCTGAACCTCGAACAGAGCTGACGATACAAATCTTACACACTTCCTTCTATACATTCATATGCTTCTTCTTTAACTGTCTCACACACTATGTATGGCAATTATTTATTAACTTCGGTGTTTATAGTCCGATCTGAATGAAATTTGGTGGGCTTAAATATACCACACAACAGCGTGTACATACCAAAGCGCTAGGCTATTCCCATTGAAAGTTATTTGTGATTTGAAAATCGATTTTGTTTCTTTTAATTATCCATGAAAATAGTTTACGGAATAGCCACAGCTATATACATTTCCTTTGCAAAAGTGGGTGTGTTGGATTTCGCATATCGTATGTCATTCAATCGCGTTTTAATTTGCATTGCAAAGTTTGTCGTCAGGTGCGAACAGTTTCCGTGAAGCGTTGAACCGCTTTCCATTTCGAGCAGCTGAACTTTCTACCCAGCACAACACTTTTACATGTGATGCTGTGCACGACTAGCCAGATACCCTAGGCTGAGAGCTGCATCTATATGGCTAGTGAGTGGTGTATACCCCATTGAGTACTTGGCGCATGCGGCATGAAAAGCTCAACACAAAGAAGTAATCAAATATGCAAACTTGAATCAACTTGAAGTAGGCGCAGTGTATATTAATCAGGACAGTGGCGCCTTAAAAAGGGTTTTCATCTGTTTGAAATTATATTTAGCAAGGTACCAACCCATAACCGTTAGCTCTTGTGTTTACAATCAAAAATGCGGTTTCCTGTTAGAAAAACTAGTTAATTTCTTATAGGCCTAATCAGGGCGAAAATACCCGTTGCTACTGCTTGCCGATAAAACAGGATTGTTTAAAGAAACTGCATATCAATTGTTTATTTTATTCCCATAAGGACAACAGCTTACCACTGCTTTATCAAAATCTAACGAGATATTCATGCAACTACCAAATATTTGTAAATCTCGTTAGTTTCTTATAAGCCTATAATCAGGGATACTGTACACAATTCCAATAAGACGTTTGGCTTTCTACTGCTTGCCAATAAAACAAGATCGTTAAAAAGAAACTGGCTCTCATTTGTTTATTTATACCTAACCGGTATATTTTCCCACTTAATTACAATAAGGAGAACAGCTTAACCAAATCTAACGAGATCTTCACGCAACTGCCAAATATTAGATCAACTTCTTCTTCTTCTCAGGGCTGTACCTAAGTCTTCAAAGGACTTCAGGAGTGCTGCCTGCTTCAGAGCCCCTGGCGCACACCCACAACGCCGCCTCTGGCTGCACGCGCCAGCTTCAACTGATGTCAGAGCTTTTTGCAATGTATATAAAAGCTTTTATGGATTGCTGATTCTTTACGATTGCTCGAAGGCTTTCAGTGTGTGACGAATTGTTGCCCGAAGCAGACGGCGTCAAAAGCTTTGTTCGCATTCCACACGCAACGCAGCTGAAGCTTGGACACAATGCAAAAGCTCTGTAGAAGCGCATGGGCGCTTGGTAATAGATAAGAAAACTAATAACAATAACAAAAATATTAGTTGAAGCTTTGCGGCTTTGTAGGTCAACGCACTGGCACTGGCAACGGCTTCGGCGGCAGAGGCATCGCCTCCCTGGCGGCGCTCTCGGAAACGCATCAAATGCTGCAAAAGACCTGCCGCGATTTCGCTAATGCGGAGCTGGCGCCGCACGCGAGACGCCACGATCGCGAGGAACTGCATCCGGCGGAACAGGTGCGCCGCCTGGGCGAGCTGGGGCTAATGTCGGTCGCTGTGCGGGAGGAGTACGGTGAGCACGTGGTCCAGAGATTGTGCAGAGCCTGAACGACGACTACTTGCAGGTGGCGCCGGGCTAGATTATCTGGCCTACGCCATAGGCATGGAGGAGGTGGCGCGCGGCGATGGCGCCGTTTCTATTGTAATGGGCGTGAACAATCTGTATCTAGGCGCAGTGCAGCAGCATGGCACGGAGGCGCAGAAGCAACAGTTTCTGGTGCCCTACACCCAGGGCCACCACATAGCCTTCTATGCGCTCTCGGAGCCGGGCAGTGGTTCAGATGCCAGCGCCGCCAGCACCACAGCCAAATTTAATGCCAACGGGGATTACCAGCTCAGCGGCACCAAAGCCTGGATATCCAACTCGAAGGAGGCCAGCGGCGGACTTATCTTTGCCACCATTGACAAATCCCAGAAGCACAAAGGTATTACAGCTTTTCTGACGGAGAAGGATGTGCCCGGCCTGTCCGTAGCCAAGAAGGAGAGCAAGCTGGGCATGCGGGCCAGCTCCACGTGCCAGCTGACGCTCGATGATGTGAGCGTACCGCAATCCCAGGTGCTCGGAACGCCCGGCGGAGGCTTCAAGATCGCCATGGAATCCCTCGACTGCGGTCGCATAGGCATTGCCGCACAGTCCACGGGCATTGCGCAGGCGGCTCTCGAGTTGGCCGTCGACTATGCGGAGAAGCGTGTAGCCTTTGGGCAGCGGCTGTCGCGATTGCAAATGATTCAGCAGAAGCTGGCGGACATGGCGCTACGCGTTGAGACCGCTCGGTTGCTCACTTGGCGCGCCGCTTGGCTTAAGGACCATGGACTGCCAATCACCAAGGAGGCAGCCATGGCCAAGCTGCACGCTTCCGAAACGGCCACCTACTGTGCGCATCAGTGCATCCAAATCCTGGGCGGCATGGGCTATACAACAGATCTGCCCGCTGAGCTCTACTATAGAAATGCCCGCGTCACTGAAATCTACGAGGGCACCTCCGAAATTCAGCGCATTGTGATTGCTAATTGTGTAATGCAAAGCATTTAAAATAAACAAATAAGATATTAACAATTGAGTCGAGCTTCTATCGCCATCTCCACTTTAAGTTGGTGGGCGATAAGTTATATAGAACTGCCATAAATAATCATCAAACGGCTAATATAAACGAAATCCACGAAGGCTTCTCAGAAACACAATCTATTGGCATTGCCAATTACTTATTGCAAAGCAGTTACAATTTTTTTAAATACATTAATAATAGTAAACAAAAATATTGTGCATTAAGAGCGATATGCTTTTAAAAACTGAGGGCGATGACTGAAAAAATCGCGCAACCGCCATAAATAATCGTATGTCAAACAGCTGTCAGCAGCTATTTTTATCGATAGTCTTGTTCCGAGCAACTTATCGGCCGACCACCTCATTTGATGACTTGCACAATAGTTGTTATCGTAGTTAAAGAATTGAGAAGCCGAAAATAATTTTATAATTAAGTGTTTAATAAGAATAAATGAGCGCCGATTTACTGCAATTAAATGTGGACACGCTGTTCGAGCAGCACGGCGTGTCCGAGATCGATGCTGTGCAGAAGAAAATCCAAACGGTGGTGGAAAACAAACGCGAAGAGCTGCGTACGATGGTCGGGTAAGTCTTGGGACCATATCGTGATGTGGCATTTTTGGGCAGCCAGCGCAACATAACTAATTGCGGCTTTATCTCAGCGAACGCTATCGGGACTTGCTTAAGGCAGCCGACACCATAGCAGCCATGCAAACATCGGCCGGCACGCTCATCGAGCAGGTGCACTGCGTCCAGAGCAACTGTCGCAGTCTGAACGAACAACAGTTGCTGGGCTTTCAGACCACGCCCACAGCCGCCGAGGTGCAGCTGCAGCAGCGGACCGCCAACAAACAGCTGAGCAACTATTACAGCACCATGGTGCAGATCAAGCTGCTGAGCAGCCTGCCGGAGCTCATCTGGACGCACATTGATCGGGAACAGTTCTATGCAGCTACCGAGCTCTTTATATTCAGTCGGCACATTAGCACCGGGCTCCAGCTGGACGCGAAAAATGCGCTGATGCAACGGCTACCCGTCGCCCTGAAACAATGGGAAATCCTGCGTCCGTTTCATGTGACCATCAAGCAGTCGGTGCTCGCAGTGCTGGAGCGGGAACAGCTCAGCGCTGAGATGGCCGTCGATTGCATGCTGAGCCTGCTCCTGCTGGACAAATGCGATTTGAGTCAGGTGCTGCAAACCTTTCTGCAGCTGCGTACCACGGCATACGTGAACTGCCTGCAGAGCCAAAGCAGCGATGCGGACAAGGATAAGCCGAGGCGTGTCAAGGAGCGCATTCTGGCCAGTTTGCATATACTCAACGGCACCATTGAGCTCCTTGACACCTGTCTGCTAGGTGAGCGGCGGAAACTAGATGTATGTGTTATGGCTGACATCGATTGATGAACTGATTGAATGTTTGACAGACACAGTCCAAACCGAGAACTAGATTAATTTAGCCGGCATTGACTCGATTGATTGCCTGACAGATTGATTGACTAATTGAATGAATGATTCACTATTGTCCTCATATATCTGAAAAAAGTAGACTATGTTTCTACAAGGGTATTTAACCTTCTACGTGTTGATAACAGTCCATTTCTATTTGGTTTTCATTAGATGTCTTCTAAAATCATTTTCAAAGATCCTTGTAAAAGTATATTATTGACTTAAGAATCAGGCTTGTTAAATTGGAAGCATAATTAATAACATATTTCTCTCATTTTAGCCAATGGCCTGCTCTTTGTGCGCCTGGCGGAGTGCGTCCTACCCACCTCGCCGCCCAGCATCAGCCGCATGGACAGTAGCGAGAGGCAGCTGGTGCATCTGCTGCCCGACATTATAGCCGGCTATAAGCCGCAGTTCGAGACGCCAAAATTGGAGACGCAGCAGCTGAGCGATGCACTGCGTCAGTGGATGTCGCAGATAGACAGATTGGCAGCCAAGCAGTTGCAGCAAATCTTCGCGCTAGTCGGCAACATGCAGACCATACAGGACATCAAGCTGGCAGCAGGCGCGACGGCCAATCGCAGCTATGCCGAGCTCGAGCAGCAGCTGAAGCTGCCGCTGGCTCAACTAGACTTCTACCGGATCAAATACATGCCGCTTATTAATGCGCGTGTGCGTGAGATCATACGCAGCAGCTGGTCGGCGGCATTGCAGCAAACCTACGAACAGGTGATTAAGCTGGTGGAGAACAGCACGCCGCCAGCACCGCTGCAGATCTGGCGCGAGCAGAGCGACGACCTGCCGCAGAGTCTGGCTGCGGCGCTCAGCGATCAGCCCAAGCGTTTGGCGAATCGCACCAAGGGCTACGAAACGGCGACCATAGCGCTGTGCGGCCACTTCGATGCCCAGCTGGCTGCCATAGTGCAGGAGCTGAATGTGCTGCTGCAGGAGCAAACAACACGAGCCGAGGACAAATTGGCGCTGATCAAATTCCTACGAGAAACGGCACAGCAACAGATGACGGAATATTTGCGTCAGCTTAAGGCGCTGCGTCTGCAGGAGCGTCATGCTCTGCTGCAAGCGCTGCGCAATACACTCGCGCTGATAGAGTTGTGCCCCCATCTGAAGCTCTGCTTCTGCCAGCCCAGCAACTGGCGTCAATGGGCGGGCAATCTGACAGCTGGCGGTGTCGAACAGTGGCAGCGGCTGTGTGCCCAGTTCGAGGAGGAGTTGCTGCAGCTGTGGCTGCACATTGTCGATGACATTCTGGCCAGGCACAACTGCGCAGAGAAGCTGCCCCATCCCATTACACACGATGTTGTATTGCGAGATTTTGCTGTAAGTTTTTGAAGTTGCCCCAAGTTCCTGTTGCAGCCAGCTAACCCACCTTCCATTTCTGTGCAGCTCTGGCAAACGCAGACGCTGGAGCAGCGCGATGAGGAGCACGACCAGAATGTGCAGTCCACCATACGCATACCTAGCCAACCACGCCTTTCACTGCAAACGTATTTGCACGGGTTGATTCAAGCCCTAAACGATGCTGTGCCCCAAACGTTGCCTCCTAAAGTGCTGCATGCCTTCAATCAACAGCTGCTCACCCAACTCCTGGCCCACTACGAACAGCTGGCTGCTGCGGAGGGCACGCGTAGCAGCCAGAACATTGCGCTGCAGCTGTACTTTGATCTCAAGTTTCTGGAGAATGTGTTCGGCGTGACTCGCGAGGAGCGCAGCCTCTATGAACAGTTCCATGCGCTGCAACGCAGCCTGCGCGACTGCATCGATCCATTTGACTTTGAGCTGTGCGCCGAGCATATTACAGTTCAGGTATCACGCTCCACGGCGCGTCTGCATGGCGAGTTGGGCGTCCTGACGCCGTCGAAGGATAACACGCAGGCGGCCAGTGGCAGCGCTCTATCCCATGAAGCTGACCCTAATGTGCTTTGTCTAAGCTCCACTGGCTCCACGTCGCTATGGTTTCCCCTGTTGCCCATTGTTATGCCGCAGGCGGCGGCAGCAACAGCAGCTGTTCAAGCTGAGCGCAAATCCCTTGCCTCAGAGCTGGATAAGGTAAGTTTTTTTTTTATTGAAAATATTTTACCGCGCTGTTAAAATATGGAATATAGCAAATGCAAAGTCCTCGACCCATGTGAATTATAAAGAATTACACGAGAACTTGCATTTGTATCTTGATTATACCCTTGCAGAGGGTATTATAACTTTGAACTATATCGCGGCTCGTATCAACCGCGTCTTTATATACATATCTGAGTCTGTCGGTCCGCCTAGCTCTCAGCTGTTTTATAAACTGCCATATTTCAGTCTTTTTCATTAATATGGGACTACTATATACATCACATACTACAATAAATAATACGGAGTTACCTGGGTAGAATAAAGACTGTTGAAAATAGAAGGTCGAATTTTGTACTCGAGCCAAGAAAAACTTCAGTATAGGCACAGATACCGTACATCTCCTATAAGTTTGCAAGAGTATACATTCTTCGACACGTCGAAGATAACTCTTTTTGTTTTTTGTCCCTAACTTATCGTAATGGTATATACATCTTTATATATATATTTCTTTATAGGCGCTCTTTGAATTGTAGTTTTCTTTCTAAAATTTATCATCGTATATTCTTTTTGGGTAGGCATTGTGTACGCAAGATATGTTAACAATTTTGCATGATTGTTATTTTTTATTGGGGTTTTATATATTTAGATAGATTAAAAATGAATTTGTCATATGTCGGCTTACTGCTTATTTATCGTTCGTCAGCTCTAACATTTTTTGCTTGAATTTTTACGTTATAAATATTTGATTTTTAGTAAGCCTCAACTTTGTATTTTAAATCTACATTTTACTTTTTTTTGTGAACAGTAATTTTTCACTGACTGAAATGTGAACAGTTTTGCTGTACTGCTTGTACTGCTTTGCTGTATGTTAAATGTGTTAAAAGTAACTGCTTATTTGCACTGCTTTGAATTTCCTACGTTTCCGTCGTAGATTAGCCAAAACATAACCCAGCTGTTGTATTTGTTGGCATTTTACTTACCTTTAGTTTATTTTTATGCTTAGTCCTTTTTATTATTTTTGGTTATTTTAAAATACAAATAATTTCATTTCATTTTGAAAACTGTTTTATAATTATATTGGACTTTCATTAGCATGCATTTGATTAGCTGCGTAAATGCATCTTCAAGCTGAAGAGCGTTTCACAAATTTGCGCAATTAACAATAAATAAACCAAAACTGCCGTTAAATAAATTATAATTAGCTGCAGTAGCAGCAGCAGCAGTTGCCACTTATAAATGCTCGGCGAAAGTTTTGCCTGTTACCAAAAAACAGAAACCGAAACAGAAACCAAAAAACTTGCAACTAGGCAGCTGCCGTACACTTCTCCTTCTGCTGCGGGTGTGTGAGCGTGAGTGTGTGTGTGAGTTCGTGAGAGTGTACCTTCAAGGCTAATTAATGAATTGGTCCATTATTGAAATCAAATCGTTAGGCAAATGTTAATTTATAGCCGCTGACTGTTGTTTATTTGCACACATTTAGTCGCATGTTTCAGCAAATAAATTGAACTCTAATTATGTTTGCTTCCATGTTTATTGCTTTGCCCCATAAATCTGTGCACCGTGTGCGCCGTAAATGAATAGATTAATCACAAAAATTACGCACTTCATTAATAACACGTATATCTTTCGAAATGCTTTAGGGGACGACGACACCAACGCGCAAGCCGCTTGGGCGCAAAAGCGATGCCAGCGCCAGCGCCAGCAGCAACAGCAGCATCAACAACAACAACAACAACAACAAATCCAAGTCAAGCGCCGCCACATTCTTTGGTATGTCCCAGGAGTGGTTCCGCTAGGAACGCGTATGCCATCGATGCCAACAGCCACTGGCCGCCACAGCTGAGATGCGTCTAATGAAGTGGCCAAGTGAAGAGCACGAAACGCGCTCAGCCAAGCGGAAGGCCGTGCAGCAGCTGCCACTGCACTCAGCTGTGTGTATGTATGTGTGTGTGTGTGCGTGAGTGTGTGTTAATAGTGCATTCCGAGCGCTAAACTTTAAATGCAAACAATTTGCAATATGCAGCCAAATAACGTAATTTAACTACAGTCGGCTATTAAAAACTCTCGCGTTTAATATCACGTTTTAAACTTAAAAAAAATAGTTGCATACATATTTATTCTAATATTTAATTTAATGCGCTTTCCTGGCAATGTGATGTCCTATTTTTTGCCGCCCTTCTTGCCGCCGCCGCCGCCGCCTGCCTTGGGCTCTGGTCCCTTCTTGGCGCCAGCTTTGTCTGCGGCCGGAGCAGCTGCTTTGTTTTTGCCACCACCACCTGCTGCGCCGCCTCCACCACCACCACTTTTTTTCTGTTACCAGGAATCATAAAAAAGGATTACACAAAAGTGATAAAAGTGCAAATAATAATAAAGATTTATAAAGAAAAAGCAATGGCAACAGGTAAGTACATAAATTGTGCTATTCTTCATGGACTTAGCGTGTGTCTCAAGAGAACTGCGCTTATTATCTTGCTAAGCTTTATGAAACTTTGGAATCATCGAGCTTAAAATGTTAATTAGGTTGTATTCTAATTAGCATATTAAATCAAAAGCAAAGTAGTGCATAGTCCTTATAACATTCTTATAAAATTCATGCAGACCTTTATGCATTTTATTGTAAATTGATTAAACATATATTAATATTTCTGTATTTCTGTACATTGTCATGATCAGTAAATCAGCTCTTTGTCGATCCCTTTGTTTTTCTGCCCGTTTTGCTTTTCTTAAGCTTCGATCTTAGAGAGCTTATCAAAGAGGTAGAGAACTTTACCAAATTTGAATTTATGTTAATTTAAAATACCATTTGGACTAAACATCAATTGTTCTTATCTTCTGATCACTTAGTCTTTTGTCTGTCTACAAATATAACTGGCAGTTAATCTGTCTGACTATTAGTCCGTCTAAGTAGTTCTCTATCTGGCTGCTCGTCTATCTGTCTATTCCGCTGTTTTTCTATCTATCTGTATATTCCGTCTGGCAGCTCCTGCTGTCTGACTTTTATAAATACATGTCGATTAAAAATACATTTAATTTAAATAAATAAATAAAAATAACGGATACTCTATCCTCTATAAATGACTCTAGAATAAGTTTACAGATATTTTCTAAAAAGGTCTTAATATAAGTAAAGTATCCTCAATATTGTTTGTGTCTAGAATAGGTTTATTTATAGATATTCGTAAAGTATCCTCTAAAAATAAGTCTAGACAAAGTTATTTATAGGTGATTTAAAAAATGATTAGGAAAACTATTTCTAACTTATTTGCCGTACATTGTAATGGGTACATTTTCTATACGTACATATATATCCATATAGTCTGAGGTTTTCATGTCTTAGTCTATATCAGAATGAGTCTTTAACTAATTTTAACGATGACATCTTTAGACTCACAATTAAAACGCGAGTTGCATAACACAAATATTGCTTACATTGCCGCCGCTGCCTCCTCCTCCTCCTCCACCGCCGCCGCCTCCACCGCCGCCGCCTTTATTTTTACCCATTTTCGCAACTTTCTTTGTTTAAATTATTTAATTTGTTCGACTTGTTGGCGAACAACTTTTACCGCAAGCAAATTGCAACTAATAAACGCTCGACGTAAAGAACAAAATGCAAAATGCATAAATAATTTCGCAAGCAAGGGAAAAACGAAATAAACCATGAAACCAAAACAAAATGCAAAAGTACAAAACGAAAAGAAAAGAAAAACCAAGAGAAATGCGAATCATTGAAAAGTGAGGGCTGTGCGGGCTGCGGGGCAGCACTTGGCGAGCAGCCGCCTCTCGACCTCCGACGGACGCCAACAGCTCTCTTAACTGATTTAGTTATTGGCCCCATTGCCACCAATGCCCCGCGCCCCATTCGTTATTCGCCCCGCGTCCCTTCTCTCAGCCACAATCGCCCCCGGGCCATTGGCTGTATTTGTGTTTGCTCTCGGCGAACGAGTGGATTATTTTGTAGTTCTTTCTACTTGACATTTTGTGTTTCGGCATTTCCCCTCTGGCCCACTCTGATGTCCCAGCCCGTTGGCATTGACATTGTCTCTTCCTCATGTCGGCTCTCACCTTGGGGGCCTAATAAAAATGCAGCGCAGGTTTTGCAAGCACTGGCGGCAACAACAAGCGCTGCGTCGTCTGGCACTTGTTCGTAAATTTGGGCTTATGTTGCGTATACTCGATGGAGAAATAATCCGACTTGTATTTAAATTATAATATTAAATTATATATTATAAATTTAACTTATAATATAAATAAGAATTCATACATTTACTCTATTATTATCAATTAATTTATCTGTTAATCTTTTAGGCGTGGTAGCATTTTAATTTAAAAGAATAAGCTATTGTAAATTCTTCTGAATCTAAAAACTAGGTCTAAGCTAAACCAATTTTCATGAAGTTCAATAGTTTAAGCATAGTTAAGACTCACTATATTTCTGCAGCTGAACTTATTTTTTAATTGGAAACTGAATTTGATTTTTTTTTATCAAAAAAAATCTACATTCTTAATTATATATAGATGATCCCCTCTTAATCACATTTCATAGCACAAATTACAAAATTGTTGACTTTTGAAATTCGCAAATCCAAAGCCTTTTTTTTCAATCTTCCATAATCATAAGTTTTTTTTTATGTTTTTATGTTATAAAATATTTCGTTTGTAATTTTTGAACATTCCCTTAATTGTTTTAAATATGCCCTGAATAACAATTTGCTTACCCATCTGCATAAATGCTGCCTCTAGTTGACTTTGTGAGATATTCCTTGGCTTGAAATTTGTAAAGGTCCTGGTCACAGAAGCAACTCGCATGTACGAGTAATTCAATTAAATTTACATGCATGTGCACAAACAGATGCTGCATGTTTAGGAGGGGGGTAGGGGGACCAAAGCTGGCCAATTTAATAAATTTTCCACGTGCCTGATTGCCCAGAAAACCCATCAGGTCCATTCAAAAGGACAAAATGCTGTGAAGATAGTCGGATTTCTTCATATGCTAATTATATGTGAGTTATCAAGTTGCTCTGGCGTTGATGCCAGCTCATGTGATGGGGTTGGCTATACCAAAACTCAATGCATAGCTAATGAACAAGTAAAACGTTCTGTTCCTCTCTGTCCTCTGGCTGGTTGGCTAATTAAATGCGATGTTTAGCCGGTCAGCTGCTAAGTGAAACTGATCTGCGGCATGTGGCGAGAACTGTGCCAACTAATGGCCCCAAATGTTCAAAAACCACCTCAGGAGCTGACCAAAGGGGAATTTCACTAGACATAAAACTGTAGTCGACTCGCCGAGTACTTTGTTAATTCAACAAGTTGAAATCTGTTCATGGCTTATAAGCAATGAACATAAAACCAAATTAGAGCTGAAAAGTATTAAATAAGCTCATAAAATTACACATACATGACTATGGCAGCAGTGTGAGAGGGGGGGGGGAGGTTGGGGCGGTGTGGGGTGTGCCAACTAAAGCGTATGCCAAGCATGGAAACAAAGTCGCAATATTCGACCATTTGCAGCAGGTGCAGCTGCAAGATAAACCCAGCTCAAAACTACCCACTCACCCAAAAATGTAAAAAAAATAAACAAGAGTGCTCTAACCGATTGTGCCCGGCTAGCAGATACCCTGCATCTATCGATGAAATAGGTTTCGCCTCTTTCGTTGGTGCTCGTAGTCCGATCATTGTGTAATGTGCAGCTTATCTAAAAAGTGAAATAGTTATAACTTCTATAGACTATACGAGCACCACCACACAGAAAGTTTGGCATATCTTATAGATATGTTGGATAAATTAATTCCTTATTAGATATTTATCGATATTATAAAAATAAACTATTATATTTAAAATATCATGTCTCTAGACTTTGTAGTTTCTCAAATCAGCCTGATCAGGAATATATAAGCTTTATACGGTCGGAATTGGTTACATACATTTTCACAAAAACATTATACCCTTTTTGAGCATTCTCACTGGGTACAGCGTACAGTAAAAAATAAGAAACCCAGCTATATAAAATGCCGACAGACAAACCGAGGAAAAGTGGGCGTACCGGGTGGGCGTAACGGGTCTAGCTAAATACATACGGACATAGAAGCAGCAGCGAGAGTGCAGCGTCTGGGCACAGGAAAAGTGCGGAACTTTAATTAAGTTTTGGCTCTCCCAACTGACTGACATCTTGAATTACAAATGAAAAACTTGTGTGCAAACTACAGGAAACCCAAAAAAAAAAATAAATAAAATGTAGAAAAAACAAGGTAAATAAAAACCTAAAAAAGAAAAACTGGCAGCATAATAACACACCGAGCAAAAGGTGGGACAGCAGCGGACTAGAATGTGAATAGCTTGCATTAGGACAGACAGAGAGAAGGAGGAGAGAGAGATATAGAGAGACATAGAGAGAGAGAGAGAGGGAGAGCGAGAGATATGGTCAAAAAGCGGAAGAGAGAATACCTGAGCTGATCTCAAAGCTAAACAGAATAAAATACACTATAGCCCCGACCCGGCTAGTTAGCTAATATGAAAGTCCGAGCAGCACAGGAAGCGGCACGGACTGAAGGCTGTGTCGCGGTACACTGTGACAAAAACACAGTAAGAAAGTTTAGGAAAAACCGTGGATAAAATAAAAGTAACAACAGCAGCTGCCAACTGAATAGAACATTTTATATTCATGCCGTAAGGAAATGATTATGGATAAGTGAGCTAACACTACGGTAGTCGACTGTAAAGATACCCAACATGTGGATGCAGAGAAAATGTGTTAAAGGAAGACTGCGTATATATATAGAAAAAAGTTAATTTTGTAAACCTCATTTTAAATCATATTAAGAAAATTTCAAGTTTTATCTAATTTTTTTTCTTTAAATAAACAAAGCGCATATTTTTAATAAATTATTTCGACAATAATTTTTTGGTAACCTCAAAACCCTATGTTCCCACCGGATATACCCCAGAAAAATAGGGTATTTTAAGACGGCTAACTTGTCAAATGAATGTCTGAGAATTGTCGCTGTGCTAAGCCTTTGGAGAGACCGCATTGGACTTTATCATCAGCGATTTTGCTGGCAGCTGCTGGTGCTGCACTTGGTTCATGTTGCCCAAGCTGCAGCTTGATTTTTACCTCTGCCGATGAACTAGACTGAAAGGCGAAGGGAAAAGCAAAGGGGGAAGGCGAAGGGGCGGGTGCAGGCAACCAGGAAACAGATGTTTGCAAATATCTTGAGAAAACTTTTGGCTGAGGCATTTAAATAAAGGTGCGCTCCAACAACTTTTTCGACAGCCGCAAAATTAACAGAGAAAAAAATGTAAAGTCCAGAACGTGGAAAAAAGGAATCATGGAAAAAGTGAGGAAAAAGAAAAGCGAAACCAAAACTATTCAAGTGCATCATTGAATTGCCAGATTATTCCATGGCAGAAACTTGACTGTAATGAAAATTCAAAGGATATGCCATGGCTTTTCATCTGACAGGCAAGAGCCGAGCTTTCAATAGCTCTAATGGAACATTATATACTACATAAGTACGAATTTCTGTGTGTACTTATGCGTTAAACTATTTGGTTGAGCCGAATATACATAATTGTGAATGATTTCTGAATGGACATTTATAAATGCGAGTGAATATATTTATTGCATTCTTCGCATCAGCTGCAATAACTCTATATTGACTCCCAATTATATTTAATATTAAAGATTAAAGTTGAAAAATATAAATATACAAGCGGGTATAGCCCGGCCTTGCCCGTGGCATGGATAAAATAAATGTTCTCAAAAAGCTTTGATTGATTTTGACTGATCATACGGTAAAACAAGTAAGAGGTTCTAGTCGGGAGCTCCCGACTAGGGGATACCCTGAACCCTCTTCTACAACATCAAATGCATATATATTCTATTTTAGAAGCTATATGTCAAGTTTGGTGACTCCAGCTCTTATTATTTACCAAAATTGCCCACAAAACAGGATATCGATATAGATTTTTATCGATTGCTTAGAAACGGAGTGAGTTATCGATTATCGGAAACAAACTCGATCTGCGCGGGAACTAGGAGTATCTACATCTAAAATGTCTCTAGCTCTTATAGGTTCTGAGATCCTTGCGTTCATACATACGGACAAACGGACGGACGGACAGACAGACGGACATGGCTAGATCGACTCGGCTATTGATGCTGATCAAGAATATATATACTTTATGGGGTCGGAGATGCTTCCTTCTGCCTGTTACATACATTTGCATTTTGCACAAATACAATGTACCCTTATACCCATTTTTAAAGGGTTCAGGGTATAAAAAAAACAACTTTCATACAAACATTTTCCGCCAATTTACCACTGTTGCGGTTGAAATTTTCCAAATCGTTAAAACACGTATTCATTTAGTTTGGATGTAAAGCTTTAAAAATATTTTTTAAGCAAATTGGAAAAAATTAAAACATCAAAAATATATTTGAATTGCATTTTTACCGAGAATGCTTTTACTCTGCAAAAAATGTGAAACAAGCCTCAAATGATTTTTTTATGGATCCTTGGAAATGAATTTAAGCGCGAAACTTCAGTCACCACCAACGTCAATGACACAAATTTCCTCCAAGAAGTGATAGATTTACCGAAAAGTGCGAAACATCCCTCAAATGAATTTAAACAAAGAATTTTTAAAATTGAGATTGAGGCCGATCGGAGAGTAAACAAAAAAGTTTCATACAAACGTTTTTCCCCGACTTAACGTGCACCTTTATCACATAAGGTAACTACAGTGAAAATTTCCTAGCTCTTACGGTTTGGGCTGTGCGTTGATCGCCAATCAATCAGTCAGGACAATCAGTTTTATATATACAGAGCTATAAATAGTTTTTTTTTTATTTAATATAAATTATTATTTATTATTCAGACTTTTTATTTAAATATTAATTATTATTTTTTATTTAGACACTTCCTTTTGGTATTAAAAATACTATTATTCAAATATATTAGCATTGCTATTAACATTACTTATATCCATGTTATTATTATTTTTCTATTACTTTATACTATTTGTATTATATTAATATCAAGGTAACAGCTTAAGACATTCGGCAATATATTTTTTGCTGACAATAATTTTAAACAAATCTCTATAAGGGATACATTTGTGGCAGTCTCATCGCCCTAATAAAATATATATAATCGATAAGTCATAGCTTAGTCGTGAACGAGTTCGGAACTAGATCAGCTCTCGTTTCCCAAAAACTACCTACTAGAGACAAGTCAGGAGAATTGCTTAATCATACAAAATATATTCATACCTTGTAATCAATAAATAAAATATGCGAGTAAAGTCGCATACATTCTCTTATGCAGAGAAGCCCCTTATTACTTCAATCCACATAAATTTCAAACAAAATAAAAATATGAATTACTTGCCCTTTCCAAACGCCTAACATAAATAAATAGATTAAATATGAACTGCCTAAAATACTAAACAAATAAAGTGCCCGACAAAACAATTGTCACTCGTGATTTGCCGAACATTTCGCATATAAAAAATATATGTAAAGTTCCATAAATCAGGAGCCGAACAGAACATTTTTTTGTGTTTATTTATGACTAACGACTTTCAAGTTCATGTGTGCGCCGTTCATACAATTCGATGCTGGGTAAACAGAAATTGGCATTTTGAGTCAAATAAACCGGAGAAGGGATGCTCATTCAAATGCCGCTTGCAAGGGAGGGCGCAGGAACGTAATAGCATCTTATTTAGTCGTAAAAATCGCGCGCGTTTAATTCAACAATTGCTTGATGGAGGGGGGGAGGGGGGGGGGTTGAGAGGTAGCGAGGGAGATCTGCCCCATAATTCTGACACATGTTAAGTTGGAGGAGCTCGAGGGGTTGATGGGTTGGGGACTTTGGGTCGCAGGCTAAATCACATTAAATCACGGGCGCATCACAAAAGGACGCTTCGCACGAAATTAAAGGTAAATAAAATGTTTATGAGTGGAACGCAATCGTTCATATGATTTCACATTTGATTGAATAACATTTACACACGCAAACGCCGGAGTCCTGTTTACGGTAGCGAGTCCTGCTATCGCATAGCCATACATATGTGCGCCCATATCCAGGCAGTCGCTTCTTCGGCCAAAGATGGGCAATAAATTCAAACATGTGCACATAAATTTTTATTTCGATTTGC